TATCACCGTGGGGGGGGGGGGGGGTAGGACTACGTTGAGCGCGTTTAAATATCCGAGAGGCATATGCGTCATACAGCCGGTGCATTGCATCTGTGCGGTATTTACGCGGGGTGTGGGACAGGGTCAGCGCTGACGAAACCGATTGTGAGATCGCGGCATCTATCTGCACAAGTGTATGTATCGTGTAATGCGCCTCTCGCGGCTGTAGAAAGGCCGTAGTGAGACTCGAGAAGGAACTAGCGAGCTCGGCATTGGGAGGGGATTGGGGATGGGTGACCGAGGGCCGCGGCAGTTAAGGGGGTGGGGGGGGGGCACGAGGGAAGTATGTACGAAGCGTTCATAAACGAGTGGTCTCTCTCTTTCTCTATCACTGTTTCACTCCTTGTCGTTTGCTGCGTCTCCTTTTGACTGCAAACTCCCTTCCATTCACTCTTAAATTGTTCTTTCTAATTTAAATACAATTTGGCCTTCAATTTGCGTTGCAAACATTTCCTTTCTTTATTACAGTTTTCGCCAGTTTATATCTATCTTTTTTTTTTTGCTCCTTCTTGTCCGCTTGATTTGAGATATATCTTTTAATTTTGATCCGAGCTTCGCCCAATTCTAATCGGACATTTTATCGTTATATAACGCATTATCAATAAATACGGCGCTACGTAAAATTTTATCTATCTCGTTTCCTTTTTCCTGTTTTCCATTATTAACAGACAGCAACCATCCTTTTATCACTTTCTATAATTTCTTGCCTTTAATATCAGCATGATGTAAGTTTTAATTTTATACCATCGTTATATCATTGAATATAAGTTGAATTTTAATATTGGAAAATGAACAAGCCATATACATTTTGTGTGTTATTGGTAAGCTAGGGAGTTAATGTATATTTTCAAGTGTTAAGGATGAACAATGAACGCGTCTTTTGTGAAAAATTTCATGATAAAAGAGAAAAAAAAATCTCAATGCCATCGTATTAGTTTATACAGTAGCGAAAAGTGCATTCGAGTCGACTGGAATGAAAATAAATTACGTATTTGTAAAATCAAAGTAGTGGAAATGGTCTTTGAAGGAGCTGGTGGCACTCGGTGAGCACTTGACTCGTAAAATCGAGCACTCGAAATTTCCTAACGCTCGATCGTTGTCTGGATGCTTTCCAGCTTTCCTTTTGCTTTTGGCTCCAGTCTCCAAGCATGTATACATACATTCGCAATCGTCCCGGTATAGCCCCCCCCCCCAGCCCACACAACCGCCGACCCGTGCTCCTTCTTTCATTCTCTCTCACACACACACTCTCTCTCTCTCTCTCTCTCTCACTCATTCTTATTCCCTACAGATTTGGCTTCGGGTTCACCTCCTACTATTTTCAGCTCTAAGCTCTTCTGCGTTCCGCATAGCTTATACTTTGAAATAGACCATTGACGGGTTCGTCCCTTTCTCTCTATCTCTAACTCTACCTCTTTCTCGACTGCTTTCGTGACAACAAGCAAATCTTGGTGAACTGTCACATCTACGGGTTACGCAGGCTCATCATCCTACCAACAGCATCAACAGAAACGCACAAGCAGGCTCAGGAGAGCAGCATAAGAACTGTATAATGTACAGGGCAATATACAGAGAGAGAGAGAGAGAGAGGGAGAGAGTGAGAATGAGAGAGAGAGAGAGAGAGGGAGAGAGTGAGAGTGAGAGAGAGAGAGAGCGTGTTAGGCGCGAGTGGTGAGTGGCGAGGTAGAGGAGGAGCGGGATGAGATCCGCCGCTTGTATAGAGTAGAAAAGAGAGTGCGAGCGAGTGGTAGAGAGACAGAGAGAATGAGAGAGGGAGAGAGAGTGAGTGAGAGGTCGGATGGCATGGGTTGGGATGAGATTGGATGGGATGGGGTGGTGGCGGTGGCGGCGGTGGCGGCGGTGGCGGTGGTGGCGGCGGTGGCGGCGGTGGCGGTGGTGGCGGCGGTGGCGGCGGTGGCGGTGGTGGCGGCGGTGGCGGCGGTGGCGGTGGTGGCGGCGGTGGCGGCGGTGGCGGTGGTGGCGGCGGTGGCGGCGGTGGCGGTGGTGGCGGCGGTGGCGGCGGTGGCGGTGGTGGCGGCGGTGGCGGCGGTGGCGGTGGTGGCGGCGGTGGCGGCGGTGGCGGTGGTGGCGGCGGTGGCGGCGGTGGCGGTGGTGGCGGCGGTGGCGGCGGTGGCGGTGGTGGCGGCGGTGGCGGCGGTGGCGGTGGTGGCGGCGGTGGCGGCGGTGGCGGTGGTGGCGGCGGTGGCGGCGGTGGCGGTGGTGGCGGCGGTGGCGGCGGTGGCGGTGGTGGCGGCGGTGGCGGCGGTGGCGGTGGTGGCGGCGGTGGCGGCGGTGGCGGTGGTGGCGGCGGTGGCGGCGGTGGCGGTGGTGGCGGCGGTGGCGGCGGTGGCGGTGGTGGCGGCGGTGGCGGCGGTGGCGGCGGTGGTGGCGGTATTGGCGTTGGGTGGTACGGAGGTAGGGAGGTTGGTAGTGCGGAGGGGCGGTGACGGGAGGGGGAGGAGGGTCGGAGGAGAGAAAGGAGAAGAGCTATCGATGGACAAGAAAAGTGAAAGAAAAGGTGAGAGAGAGAGAGAGAGAGAGAGAGAGAGAGAGAGAGCGAGCGAGCGAGTGAGAGAGCGATGGAGGGAGGGAGCGTCGGAGGGTGGGAGGGCGAGCGTTACCGCGAGAAAG